CTAAGGAATCACAGTGAACTTTGGTAAAGATAAACAGTTTTAAGAATGCAAGTGGTTGGGCTGGAGGATAGAGCAGGGGATTTGCTTGTGTCTGACCTGGGTTGCACCTGGCACCACCTGGTCCACCAAACACAGCCTGGAGTGACCCTGGAGGCTCCAAGCACTGCCAGGGTGGCCTAGGTGGTCCTTGTCACTGGCAAGTGAAGAGCACCACATCCTTGGGCTCTAGCAGTGACCTAATTGTGGGTTTGGCTGAGACTTACTGGGAGAGGCTTTAGCCTCCCGAGCACTGCTTGGGTGCATGCCCCCCAAACGCAGAAACTAGGTGGAAGTTATGTCCGAGACTTATGACAATGAGCTCTTTGGGAAGGCTCTGCTTTTTGGCAGAGAACATCTTTCAGAATATCACAGCCCTTTTATGCCGCAGTACCTCCTGCATCCCGTTAACTTGTCTACTCCACCCATTTCCTGGGAACTCAGGTGAACAAAGACCAGTCTCATGAGCAGGAAATTCTACACTCTGATGGCAGAGCGCTAGGGCTGACAGAGTTGCTCTTGCAGCGATGCGAGGACTTCATACTTCTCAGTGAAGGTTTCTTGAGGGGCTCCTGGTGCCAAGCACTATTCAAGATAACCACAATCAGAGAAAAGCATTTTATTCAATATTTTGGGTTTTTTTGGGGGGGCACACCTTGTGATGCTCAGGGTCTACTCCTGACTTGGTGCTCAGGGAAACATGCAGTGCTGGGAATGAATCCCGTGCCTCCGACATGCAAAGTATGTGCTCCGTTCCTTTCCCTTAGTGCCCCTGCCCAGAGGATTAATAGGGGAGTGAGAAACACTGCTCTAGGCAACCAGAGTCAAGGCACTGGAAGCCGAAGAATCATTCTGAAAGGAGGCAAGAGCGAACACCAGTGCAGATTAAGGTACAGACATATTTGTCACAATCCTTCATTGTGATAGATATGTAACTTATGTATCCGGACATGGGTGACTTGAGGTTGCCCAGCATTATAACAAGCACTTTGCATAACAACTGGCTGGAGCAACAGCGCAGCGGGTAGGGCGTTTGCCTTGCACGCAGCCCACCTGGGTTCAATTTCTCCATCCCTTTCGGAGAGCCTGGCAAGCTACGGAGAGTATCCTGCCGGCAAGGCGGAGCCTGGCAAGCTCCCCATGGCATATTCGATGTGCCAAACACAGTAACAAGACTCACAATGGAGACATTACTGGTGCCCGCTCGAGCAAATAAATGAACAATGGGAGGACAGTGCTACTTTGCATAAATGGGTTTAACTATGTTAGAAGAAGGAAAATAACACCACAGGTCAGAGAGCTCAATGGGCTGGAGCACATGGTTTACATGCAGGAAGCCTGGGTCCGTTTCCTGCATGGTCTGCTTAGAACTGCTGGGAGTGACCTCCCAGCGCTAAGGCAAGAATAGCCCCACAAAAAAGAGAAACCCATTTTATTTTCTTATTACTTTGTTCATTTTCTAGAGATTTTTGATAGCAGAGCTCTCAGATCTCCTCATGCTTGAGGTAGCATCAGGGATTAAGCTTGTGTTTGCTGGGCAAGTACTTTAAGCCTCTTTGTCCTCTTCCATGTGCTATTATGCCAATTTTATTTTATTGTTGTCGGGCCACATTTGGCAGTGCTCAGGGTTTATTCTTGGCTCTGCACTCAGGGATTACTCCTAGTGGGTTCGAGGGACCATATGGGATGCTGGGGATCAAACCCAGGTCAGCCATGTGTAAGGCAAACACACTGCCTATTGTTATGCCTACTTCCCCCCTTTATTTAAACACCACGCTTTACAAAGTTGTTGTATTATTATGAAAGAATACAGTTGTTACAGGCATTTAATATGCCAACACTGATCTCACATCAATATGATTTTTTTCCATCATTATCTCCATTTCCCCAACCACCCAACAAGCCTTCCCCCTTAGCTGGTAGATTCTAACAATCAAATGGCTAATGGAACTATCAAAAAATACTTCAGTAAAAGATGAGTTGCAAAACTTGTTATATCTCACCATGGGGTCATTAAGTCCATTCTGAGGGTTTACTAAGCCATTTGTTGCTAGTTGAGCCTTTTGTATTATCGTTTATTGAGTGTAGGTGGCTTCTATGTTACTTTCCCATTTAATCTGATGTGCTCCTACTGGGATGTCAGTAAGATTTGGAAGTGTCACATTTGCGGTAGCATGCTCCAGAAACTCCAAAATGAGAATGTGTAAGTGGGCCATAAGTTTATGTGGTGGTGGTTGTGGGTGTGGGTGCCAGGGCTCCCGGCAGTATGGCGGGGCATAGGGGAAGGCTGTCTGTCTCCCACTCTAAGAAGACCCCGGAGTTCTCAGTCTGAATGGAATTTTCAGCAGTTGGGCATTTCTGCAGATTAGTTGGAAAGCAGTGGAGCTGGGCTAATGGTGTGGAGGTAGCTCTGGGGTGTGGGTACAGCTTCCAGAGCTTTGGCGGGGTGGGGGCTTGGGACACCAGAGTTTTCAGCCAGGAGGCCAGTGTATCTATGAAGTTTTGCAGTTTGGCTTGCATCTCCTCCGAGATTTAATTGTGAGTTTGTAGAGCTAGGTCGATGGATGAACTTATATGGTGGCAGTGAACTTATATTGTGGGATGTGGGTGTGACTGATGAGGCATCTGAAAGTATCCATTATCACTTTTCTTAAAGATATCTTAAGGATAGCTCACTTTCCAAATAAAAAATACCTGGGTTTTCTACCTCACATAACCCACATATTGCAGTGACTGAAGATCTCATTGTGAAAATACAACTCTGAAGCCAAAAGACGATAATGCAGATTATTATTGTGATGCTGGGATTGGACAGGACCTTTTCAACAAGACACAAATAGAAAATAATGGATTAACCGACATCAAACTAATTTGGTTTTCATTTGGGTGGGGTGTCCACACCATGCACTCTGTGCTCAGGAGTGACCCCTGGTGGTGCTCTGGGGATTATATGCTGTATTGGGGATCAAACCAGGCAAGACTTTACCTCCTATACTATGTCTCTGGCCCTGACTATATCAAACTAAAGATACATGTTCAATAAAGACATACAAGATTAAAAAAAATTGTCATAACCAGCAGTGCTCAGGAGTTACTCCTGGCTCTGCACCTCTGGAATCACTCCTGCAGGTGGTTGGGGATATGGGATGCCAGAGATCAAACGTAGGTCGGCTGTGTGCAAGGCAACTGCCCTACCCGCTGCACTCTCTCTCCAGACCCTGTATTTAATTATTTGATAGTTTAAAGTTGCATTTTAGAGAATTTGATTTATGATGCTTGATTAATAGAACGCAAAATGTGAGACTATAATGTTATGTGATTTGAGAGCCAATTATAGAAATCTTCTATTAGATCCTTGTGTTTCCCCTTCTCTATTGTGTCGGGAGCATTTCAATAGAAAAGTTTGACAAGTATTCAGTTAAATAAAACTAAGACACAAGTGAGTTTTTTCTCTTTAATGGGAATTTAAATTCCACTGCATAACCTGCTTGGTAATTGGAGTTGCTACTTTCTTCATCCATTTTTTAATACATCGACCTTTAATACATGCTATTGTGTTTAGATTCTTAAATAGAAGTTTTCCTTTCATTGAATTCATTTTTCATGGTCTGATAAAATATACAATGAGTTATTCAAATGAATATGGCCTAAATAGAAAGGTAACCTGCAAACACAATGATTTTAAACGGCTTATTAAAAAAAAAAAAGCCTTATTGTCTGAAAGTATACCAAAATGCTTTCCCTTAAAAATAAATTTGTCATTCAACTCTATTTCACTGCTGAGAACCACTAGAGTTAAAACAGTTGTGAAATAACTAAAATCTTTTTTTCCTTTCCAGTCTTTACTTCCATGTTCATTCACTTTAAAAGTTTAGATGGGGGGCTGGAGCAATAGCACAGCAGGTAGGGCGTTTGCCTTGCACGCAGCCAACCTAGGTTCGATTCCCAGCATCCCATATGGTCCCCTAAGCACCGCCAGGAGTAATTCCTGAGTGCATGAACCAGGAGTAACTCCTGTGCATCGCTGGATGTGACCCAAAAAGCAAAAAAAAAAAAGTTTAGATGATATAAAAGCTTATGTGTACTTCTGTTTGATTAGCTGTTAATGAAAATAGCTTAAAGTGAATCTCAGTTTAAAAGTGAATCTCAGTTTAAATAAGTGAACTTCGTGGTATTTAATTTCATATTAATAAAGCTGCTTTTTAAAAGGTGATTTAGAGAATCAATCATCCAGTCTCAGTGCTTCACTAACGTATACAGGGATCAGGGGTTAGGGTGGAATGAAGCAACCCACCAGTAAGTAGGCTAAGTTCTTGTTTTATCTGGTCCTCATAACCTGGACAAAGTGACAAAGTGTGTGAGTAGGTGTACATGTGTGGGGCAGGCGAAACTTAAAACCTAATTGTTTTGAAACAATTCTTTCACACGTTTTTAAATTTTAAATTTTTAAATGTAAGATTTTTTAATTCTTTCACACGTTTCAGAATTTTTCCTTCAGACACTGATAAAAGGAAACATGACAGTCTCCCTTTTTCATCTATAAATAGACCATTTCCCAAAACAGTCATGAGAGCACAGAAGTCCCATTGAAAAGCCTCCCTCCCACACCCGGCAGTAACTTTTATAGATTATCTGAGTGAAAACTTAAGTTTGCTCTCAAAAACAGCTAACACCGTACTGTATATAAAGGAAACAAATCTGAGGGGAAAGAATACTCATTTAAAGTATTTGTATCTGTTATAAAGGCAGGCTGGGGTGGGGAGAATTGGGGGTGTGGGAGTGAGACTGGGGACATTGGTGCTGGGAAATTACACTGATGGAGGGATGAATATCGGAACGTTGTATGACTCAACTCCAATCATGAACAGCTTTGTAGTGCTCTATCTCACGGTGATTCAATAAAAAAATAAAATGAAAACATTTTAAAAAGACAACAGAGAGATGCTAAAAGCCGACAATGCTGGTCCACATTTATTATTTTATTGCTAAACATCAAATACCAGCCACTATGGTATTTCCAATCTAAAGCTTAAGAATGAATCACAACACAGATACAAGATTTATAGAAAAAAAAATACCCGTGCACCATTAGTATGTGGACATTCAATAAATACCATAAGACAAATGATGACTGACAGCCACATAGCCATGAAGCACATGTTTACAATTTACTGTTAGACTGTTAGAACAATGACCTATAAGAGCAATGATCAAAAAGTCAAGTTTAACTGCACGTCTTTTCAAACAGATGCTGAAAATAATATACACATTCTTTACAGATTGCTGATGATTTTTCAAAAGCCTCAAAAATGTAAACAATGCAGAATAGGAACACTGAGAATACAGTTTTACTCTTGAACAAAGTAACAACACAGAAAACACTCCTCTTTTAGGTCCTCAAGATAATTCATGTTTCTTATCGCTCTGTAGAAATACAAATGATTTCTTAAAGATGGGAATATACCGGGGACACAAAGACTTTCCAAGTTATTTCTTTATGTTAACATATATTTACAGTAAATACTCAGTACTTTTTTACAGTTTACTTAAATAGAAACATGCTTGTCTAGTCCATAAATAACACTAATCATCATTCATTCAACCACATTTATTAAGCAGAATGTCTCATGCACTGGGCCAGGGATGCAAAGGTGAGTAGGACAGTCCTTGCTCTAGAAGTGCTCACAAAGAAGCTGAGAGACAACACATACTGCTTCCTTCCTTCCACAGTGAGGCCATTTCTATACAAATGAGACTGATGTGCTCAATATCCTAATAGAGTGGTCCCCAAATCCTAGCTCTATGGAGACAAACCAAGGTACTTATCAGCAACAGGAAAATGAGGTGATTTGTTGTTTATGGTTTCATCCAGAAAAGTAGTTAATGATATGTTTCCTCTATTAAAATTTTTTTCTGTTAAAAAAACACACAACTGACCTGTATATACACAACATTTTCATTAGTAAACTGCTGAGCGCATGTCATTGACTTAATTATGAGTATTTCATGGCATTCCCCAGACTACCTGAGCAGATGTCAGCATTCCTATGCTAAATATACTTTGATCCTGAACGATTAAGAAGAGAACAAATACCTTTTTTATTTTCCAGGAAATGACGTGTATGTTTGCAGTAGTGGTCACCTCTGATGACCTAGCATCATTAATAAAATGTTAACATTCTAGTCATTGTGTAATTCATATTTAAGAAGGCAGGCAGATTTGTAGTTTACTCTCGAGTTCCCCCAGAAAAGATGGGGAACGTTTTAGTGTCGAAAGAGCAACTGAAGAATAGCCTTACAGAGATGACCGTGGCACATCTCCGAGCCAAGCTGGGCGCGCTGGTCAGCCCGTGGCTGTTGGCCTGCTCACTTCCCAGACCTCCCAGCATGGCAGCTTTGGTCTAAAAGACCTGGAAGTAGAAAGGGTTCTTTCACACCCAGAGGAAGTTCCCCGGCTTGGCAAATTCACGTTCGCACACATGTGTAACCATCCTTCTTGTGGAGCCACAGAGGTAGCTTAGGGGAAAGCCGGGAAGCAAGGACTAGGTGTTTCGTAACCCAACGCCCAGAAGCGCGGTGAGGGCTTCAGGCAATTGCTTCTTGGAAACAGGAACCAGGAGCTAGGCCCCGGATGGCTGTAGCAGCACAAGAGAAAATGTCTACCCTGGAAGACTCGACGCTTCGCAGAGCTGTGGAGAACGAAAAGCAGGATTGCAGACGGTCCTGTGATGCACCAGAAGACCCGGCTCAGTTCTGAGGGTCAACCCTGAAGGCCTGAGTTCACAGGCAGCGTCCTTGGCAGCAACTGGCTCTGAATGTCAAGGCTGAGGCTGCTTGCGGAGGGGATCGAGTTACATTAGCAAAGAGGCAGCTCTGTGGAGCAAAGTCAGTCTCATGATATGGCAGGTCCTACTTCTGACGTTGTTCCTATGTTTGACATCGTTTGATTCTTTGTACAGAACTCCATTAATTTATCTGTAATCAGAACTTAGTTTGTAAGAGTACAAAAGAATACATCACCAAAATTTAAAAATACTTTCCAAGCAAGATGAACCACAAGAATTTATAGGCCAAGAAAATGGTCACCCCTCCGCTGAGCCAAAGTCTGCTCAACTCTGGACGAGTGACCTTTTTTCAAGAAGTTTCCACCAATTTCTCCTCCCCCCCCCACCCGTTATCTTCCCTCTTATACTATGCCAACACATGTCACACAAAATGATTTCACATGAATTCACACTTGTTTAGAAACGGTTCCACGAGTATCTAAAGTTTTAAATTCAGTATTTAAAACAAGGATGTTGTTAGAAACTACGCCTTTCACTTTGTGTTTTCCCCTACCTCAGAATCTGCATACCCAGGATATTGGAAGAGATTTAAACTGCTGGTTAAAATGTAATTTTAAGGACACACTTCATATTTTGTATCAAGTAAGGTTTTCAATACTGCATATTGAAACTCATAGACCCTGTCGGGTTGACTATAGACATTACCGTGCCGTCACCATCCAGAGTCCCAAGGTGACGTTGGCAGCTAAAAGTATACTGCCACCAAGCAAAATGAAAAATCCTATCAGATCTTTGAGATCATTATCTCCAATCACTGAGGTAAGGGTAGCATCCAGGAATGAGTTTAAAATCCACTGTCCATCCAAAGCAAAGCAGGGCACTGCATTAACAATAGCCAGAGCTCCAGAGAGGGATATCAGGTACCTGATTAAAATCTGTTAAGGAATCTATAACGAGGTCTCATTGGAAGCCACACTTATGAAAGTCAGAAAATCTTTTCAAAGTATTTGATGGGGCTAAAATCGAGTTTAGGGGGTTGGAGAGATAGCACAGCGGGTAGGGCGTTTGCCTTGCATGCGGCTGACCCGGGTTCGATTCCCAGCATCCCACATGGTCCCCTGAGCACCGCCAGGAGTAACTCCTGAGTACAGAGCCAGGAGTAACCCCTGTGCATCGCCAGGTGTGACCCAAAAAGCAAATAAAATAAAATAAAATAAAATAAAATCGAGTTTACTTCTTTTCCTTGAATCTCTGCCCACCAGTATAAGCTCTTCCTTATTAAGTCTTTTCTGTTTAAAACACATGATTGGACTTATTTTGAAGTTTGGAAATAATATGACCTTGGCCAGAAAAATAAAATCCAACCCTTTAATTTACACTTTATTTACAACAACAAAATAAGGCAATTATACTGAACACTTCAGAAGACTAAGCCTTTCCAATTCAATAATGGTACAAAGGCATGTTTAAGGGGTAAGAAATTAAGGTGCGGTCTGTGGATCAAAGGGCTGGAGTGAATGCTTTGCAGTTAGGAGGCCTGGGTTTGTTTCTTGGAACTACACGGTCCCCTAGAGCATAACAATGGGTAGTTGTCAAGCACCAGTGTGTATGACCCCCAAACACAAAAGAGTAAGAAGGGAAAATTATCTTTGATACTTCGTTTCACTTTTATACATACAGAAAATATTTCTAAATAAAGACCATGATATTTTGTTCTCTAAATTGCTATTTGGTAGTGAATACTCATTTGATCTCTCTTATGCATTTTCCCCATTTGGTTCATGAAAACATGTTCAGAAGGGGCTGTATTCATCACTTGATAAGGAACCGGTTTATCCTTTCTAAACTTATTAATTTTCAGATACTACTAGATTTTCTTTTACTTGTTTTTGGGTCATGCCTGGTGGTTCTCGGGCCTTACTCCTGGCTCTGTGCTCAGGATCACTCCTTACGGGACTTAGGGGATGCCAGTGATCCAACCTGCATTGGCCGTGTGCAAGGCAAACACCCTTACCCGCTGTACTACTGTTGTAGCCCCAAGGTATTAGTAGGTTTTAGAGAGACATTTATTTTTTATTTTTAATATTTTTTGTTTTGTTTTATTAGTGAAACACCATGAGGTACAGTTGTAGACTTACTATTTTTAATATTTTTTTTTGCTTTTTGGGTCACATCTGGCGATGCACAGGGGTTACTCCTGGCTCATACACTCAGGAATTAACTCCTGGCAATGCTCGAGGGACCATATGGGATGCTGGGAATCGAATCTGGGTCAGCTGCATGCAAGGCAAGCACCCTACCTGCTGTACTATCACTCCAGACCCTAGAGAGACATTTATATTCTGGGATTTTTTCCATGCTAACTGTTCTCTCTCCTCAATCTCATGTATCCTCTGACTTTATCCTCGCTATATATACTTTCATTTTTTTTTACTTTCATCTTTTTCAACTTTGAAATCTTAAAAAAAAAACTCATGCTGCAATCACATTCAGGGCCTTATATATGCAAAGCAGGTGTTCTACCATGGAGCTGCATTCCCATCTAAAGTCTCCTTTTTAGTTAGAGCTTAATAGATCTTTGTAAGGTCTATACATGCCCCCATCAAGGTTAAGACTGGGCTAGTTTCAGGCAACACACTTTACACATTTCCCATATTAGAAAGGATACTTGACAAATGTCTCCACAACCACTGGAAGATCTATGCTTAGGAAGTTGAAACGTGGGACAAAACTGGTGATGCTCACTGAAAAAGAAAAGCAAGGCATAATGAAAATTATTCATGCCAGATAAGTTATAGGACTATGAGCTTTACCCTATGGTCAAAAAATGGGCTAGCTTATACAAGTGGCCAAGCAAGTCTTTCCCAAGCACACGCATGCATACATAGAGTGCCACATAGAAAAACATCAATTGCTTTAGAAGATTTAATAAAAATGGAAGAAATGCTAAACACATGTCCCAGGGTGTATTTAGATTTGGGGGTGAGGATGAGACAAAAGCTGAAGATAAACTATCGATAGCTATCAGAGACTTCTAAAAACAGAGGGCCCGAGCGAGTACAGGAGGGAAGGTTGTGCGGCTGTGGCTGGAACTCTGACTGAGTGCTGTTACTGCACATACTAGAGGGCCGGCCTGATCCCCAGTACTACATGCTCTCCTACCCAAGTACTAGCCAGGTGGCTCCCGAACACTGCTTGGGCAGCCAGGGCAATCTCTCGCATGCAGGGTCCTTGTCGCACTGCACGCTCAGGCTGCTGGCATTGATCTTCTGGCTCCATCAGCTGAATATTATAGGGAATGGGCCCTCGGGGCCCTGAGCACCACTTGCAAGGCTTCCCTCCCCCTCCCCAAATATGCATGTATTTAGAATGCCTAGCAAGAGAATCCTTACTCCAGGAAAAAGAAAACCAACACAAGACAAGAGTCCTTACTCCTTCCAACAGACCTTGAAAACAGCACTCACTCTGATGACCATGCCACTTGGCCTCCTTCTGGTTTCTCTTATTCCTACATGGCTAAGACAAGGACTCAGATACAGGAATTTTTGATGGGGACTGTGGCTCAATGGTAGAGCACACAGCTTGCACGAGGTTCTGGATTCTGCCCCATCCTTACTCTTCCCAACAGGCAGACTCTGAAAACAGCACTCACTCTGATGACCATGCCACTTGGCCTCCTTCTGGCCTCTCTTATTCCTACATGGCTAAAACAATGACTCAGATACAGGAATTTTTGATGGGGACTGTGGCTCAATGGTAGAGCACACAGCTTGCATGAGGTTCTGGATTCTGCCCCAGCACAACAAAAATAAAATAAAATAAAATAGAATTGAAGAAGTGCTGGGGGAGATGGGTCTAGTGGTAGAGCCCACAGGAGCCACCCAGGTCTGAGCACACAGGCCCTCACCTTGGGGCCAAGTGCTGCAGGCAGAGACCCTATGCCCTCAGCACCTCTGGGGAAGCCCCTGTAAGAAACAATAAAAAAATTTTAAAAATTATTTTTGGGGAGGTCTGGGCCACACCCAACAGTGTTCAAGGGGTTGTTCCCTGGCAGTGTTCAAGGGATAAAACCAGGGGCTGGAGTGATAGCACAGCAGGTAGGGTATTTGCCTTGCACATGGCTGACGCGGGTTCGATTCTCAACATCCCATATGGTCCACTGAGCACTGCCAGGAGTAATTCCTGATTGGAGAGCCAGGAGTGACCCCTGTGCATCGCTGGGTGTGACCCAAAAAGCAAAAAAAATAAAGGGATAAAACCGAGGTTGGCTACATGCAAGGCAAGCACCTCAACCATTGGACTATATCTCTGGCCCAAATTAAATCGTTTTGTTTTGTTTGGGGGCCACATCTCGGCGTGCTAAGGGTTTACTCCTTAGCTTAGGGATCACTCCTGGAGGGCTCAGGGGACCATAGGGGTATTGGAGATTGAACCTGGGTTTGGTATATGCAAGGCAAACGACGCACCCACTGTACTATCTCTCTGGCCCCCTGTACTGAGTTTCTCCAAAGGAGAATCTATAAGCTCTAAATGACTTCCTGAGGATTTACCCACCTGTGTAGTGAAGGTGCAGTGGATGTCCTACATATAACATATCTATATGAGGTGGGTGCTTCACTTTTATTAAGCGAGTATGAGTTTCCAAAGATGGTATTATACAGAAACTTGAGGCTTTCTGACAATCTCTATTGGTTCGACAGACTTGGGTGGCTTCAATTGCTTTCCGGGCAGGTAGACATGTATGCTATAAATAAAGCATCAATTAAAGTGATTTGTTAACAAGAAAAATACCAAGTGACAGTTCTCACTTTCTCCAGCACATGAGGAATGAAGTTCATATTAGAGAAATGCCATTATGTACATCCAATAGAAGTTTAGATTTAAGTATTTCACTGCTGCCTAATAAAATCTCACTATGAATTGTAGCTTGAAGGCCATGCTCAGTGGTGCTCTGAGGACCATATAGTGCTGGGGTTCGAACTAGGTCAGCCAGGATGTAAAAAGTATAGGCTACGCCCTCTGGGTTATCTCTCTGGCCCCAATCACTATAAGTTTGAAAATATTTTCAGATGAGGGATGGAGAGCTAGCTCAAGAGGTTGAGTGCAAACTTTGCATGCAGGAGGCCTGGGTTCGAGTTCCACCACCACACAGTCCCCTGAGCACAAAGCTAGGAATATCTCCTGAGCACCGACGGGTATGGTCCCCAAACAGAAACCCCAAAATTTTCCAATGAAATGTGATATAAATTATATAGATTTTAGTAAAATGATACAAAGCATGGTGGGAAAGTTTTCATCTTACCAAACGCTTATTGAAATTATTTCTGTAGGAAAAGCACACATCGGTGAGACTGTGATTGTTACAGCACTCAGTTGAACCATCTAGTCGCTTGTACGCTAAAGAGAAAATAAAATTTGTTACATAGAAGTGCATTTGCAATAACAATTTGTGCTCTCAAGGCAAAAAGATTAAGCAAAATGTGCATGCATTCGAAAATAAATTCAGAAATCAGCTTGATGGCCACTTGTTGTAGTTTGATTTTATGGGGAGATGGTGTGAAGGGTGGGAGGGCATGCCTACCATAAGCAAGACCCCCATCTCAATCCTGTCCCACCTAAGTAACATCCAGTGTAGCTTCTTTGGGGTATTCCTGGTAGCCCCAAGCAGCATGGTATAAACTGGCCTCAGTGCTGAATTATCAGGACCATAGAGCCTAGATTGGACCACCATGTCCCCATGTGTAGCTAGGAATGGCCCTCAGCCTCCCAGCTCTTCAGGGGAAAGGCCCCATCAAAATAGAAATGTGCAATTTGAAATCAAGAAACTATTTCCCTTCAGTAAGCTGTCTTCATATAAATGCACCCATTCTTAAAGGTAGGTCTCCCGAGGATTTTCATTAGTTCCACTGTGAGACGCCCTCATAGTACTGATGCATTATCACCACTGAGCTGCTTTTTTGGGGGGCAGGGGTGTGAGGGTGGCGGTTGGGCCAACTTGGCGATGCTCAGGGTTACTCCTGGTTCTGCACTCAGGATCACTTCAGGCGGTGCTGAGGGACCATACCGGATGCTGGGGATTGAACCTGGGTTGTCCCTGGATTGGCTAGGTGCAAGGCAAGCGCCTTACCCATTGTATTATCTCTCCAGCCCCTATTACCATGTATGTTCTGTGCTATGATATTAGCAGAGTGGGTCAGAAGGTCGCCAAAGTCAACTCTATTCTGTCAAGATTTCACTATTCTCCCAGATTTACTCTTTTGTTTTTTGGCTTTTTGAGTCGCACTCCGCAATGTTCGGGGTTACTCCTGGCTCTGCACTCAGGAATTACTCCAGGCAGTGCCTGGAGGACAATATGGGATGCCCGGGGATCGAACCCAGGCTGGACTCATGCAAGGCAAATGCCTTACCTGCTTTACTATCACTCTGGCCCCCAAACAAAAATCTTATGCATACATATGTGGTGCCCTGGGTTTGATCCCCGGAACTACAACAAAATATGACCCAAAAAGCTTACATTCTTTTATCCCTTCTTTTACATTCTTTTATCCATTCTTTTATCCAGATGTAGTGAAGAAGCAGACTATATATATAGCAGCATTATAGCACTGTAGCACTGTCCCCCCATTGTTCATCAATTTGCTCGAGCGGGCACCAGTAACGTTTCCATTGTGAGACAGTGGGTAGGGCATTTGCCATGCACTCGGCTGACCTGGGTTCGATTCCTCCATCCCTTTTGGAGAGCCCGGCAAACTACCGAGAGCAGCATTATAAGTTTATAAAACTGTTCTTCAACATTTCTATACCTGCCAACAGCATTGGTCCATGGACTGTTGGTTGAAGAACACTGCTCAAGAGCTCCGGCATAAAATTGTTACTTAGGGGCTGGAGCAATAGCACAGTGGCTAGGGCATTTGCCTTGCATGTGGCCGACCTGGGTTTGATTCCCAGCACCCCATAGGGTCCCCCAAGCACCGCCAGGAGTGATTCCTGAGTGCAGAGCCAGGAGTAACCCCTGAGCATCAGCTGGATGTGACCCAAGAAGAAAAAAAAGTTACTTAATAAACTTAATAAACAACATAATTTTACATTTCAAGGGGGTTTGATTTTAGTTTAGTTGTTTTTTTCCCCTTTAGCGTATTTAAAGAAGACATTGTGTAAAAATTAGAACAAATTTTCCCTATTGTTTGCTACCTCCTCTTGAACAAATAACTAAAAGAAATGAACAAAAAACAAATGAACAACAAAGCAGTAAAGAGTCAAAGAGATACTACTTTGGATAGGGTGATTATTTTGTACTCAGCTGACCTGGATCGATTCCTTGGCACTGCATATGGTCCCCTAAGCACTGCCAGGAGTGAGACCTAAGTATCTTTGGATGTGGCCAAAAGAAAAAAAAAGTCATGCTACTACTGAGTCACATTTCCAGCCATTGTCTTATATTAAATGTGTATTTAAATTTGGGCTGGAGCAATAGCACAGCAGGTAGGGCGTTTGCCTTGCACACGGCCGACCTGGCTGACCCAGGTTCGATTCTTCCACCCCTCTCGGAGAGCCCGGCAAGCTACCGAGAGTATCTCGCCCGCACGGCAGAGCCTGGCAAGCCACCCGTGACGTATTCAATATGCCAAACACAGTAACAACAAAGTCTCACAATGGAGATGTTACTGGTCCCGCTCGAGCAAATCAATGAACAACAGGAGGAAAGTGATTTAAATTTAGGGTGATGAGCAATTACTTAAAATCTGAAAGCATGGGCTGGAGAGAGCTCAACAGGATGAGTGCATACTTTGTATATTAGAGGCCTGGGTTTGATCCCCAGAGCACTGGCAGGAATGAACCTCTCCCCCCCATCTCCCAAACAAAAATATAAAAACTAACTGTGATTATTTTGTACTCAGCTGACCTGGATCGATTCCTTGGCACTGCATATGGTCCCCTGAGCACTGCCAGGAGTGAGACCTAAGTATCTTTGGATGTGGCCAAAAGAAAAAACAAAGTCATGCTACTACTGAGTCACATTTCCAGCCATTGTCTTATATTAAATGTGTATTTAAATTTGGGCTGGAGCGATAGCACAGCGGGTAGGGTGTTCGCCTTACAAGCGGCCAACATGGCCGACCCGAGTTCGATTCTTCCGCCCCTCTCAGAGAGCCTGGCAAGCTACCGAGAGTATTCGATATGCCAGACACAGTAACAACAAAGTCTCCAATGGAGACGTTACTGGGCCCGCTCGAGCAAATCGACGATCAACGGGAGGGCCTTTACCTTTACCTTTTTTTAACTGTGAACATCTAATGGCACAAACAATCTGTGCTTATAATTACTTGTTAGCTAATGGGAAAAATAAGGTAAAAAGTTAAGGGGCCAGAGAGATAGTTCAGGGTTGGTAAGGCACTTGCCTTGACACAACTGACCTGTTGTCCTGTTGTTCAATCCCTGGCACACATATGGTCCCTGGAGCACTGCCAGGCATGATCCCTGAGCACAGATCCAAGAGTAAACCCCGAGCACAGTCAGTTGTGACGCAAACTCTAGCCTCCCCACAAAAAAAGGGCTGGAGCGATAGCATAGCGGGTAGGGCGCTTGCCTTGCACACAGCCGACCTGGTCGGCCCAGGTTCGATTCCTCCACCCCTCTCAGAGAGCCTGGCAAGCTACCGAGAGTATCTCGCCCACATGGCAAAGTCTGGCAAGCTACCCGTGATGTATTCGATATGCCAGACACAGTAACAATAAGTCGCACAATGGAGATGTTACTGGGCCTGCTCGAGCAAATCAATGAAAAATAGGAGGAGAGTGCCACAGTGGTACAGTGTGAACCCAGGGGGACGGAGTGATAGTACAGAGGGTAGGGTGTTTGCTTTGCATGCAGCCAACCCGGGTTCGATCCCCAGCATCCCATAAGGTCCCTCGAGCATCACCAGGAGTAATTCCTGAGTGCAGAGTGAGGAGTAGCCCTGAGCATTGCCGGGTGTGACTGAAAAAAAGCAAAAAAAAAAAAAATCCAGGTTTGAACTCTTAGGTATTCTGTCTGGTCAGCTGCTAAGTCCCACCAATTTTTACCCTCTTGTTCTGATTTGAGTGCAGACTGTTTTCCCAAACTACTCTCTCCTGGGGGCTGAAGCCATAGCACAGCGGGTAGGGCGTTTCCTTTGCACGCAGCCGACTGGGGTTTGATCCCTCTGCCCCTCTCAGAGAGCCCGGCAAGCTATGGAGAATATCCCGCTCGCACGGCAAAGCCTGGCAAGCTACCCACAACATATTCAATGTGCCAAACACAGTAACAAGAAGTCTCACAATGGAGACATTACTGGACCCACTCAAGCAAATCGATGAACAACGGGAGGACAGTGCTACATGCAGTGCTACTCTCTCCTGGAGAGTACTGGAAGGACCCTGGGAAGTCAGTAGTAGCCTAGGTACAAATGGGGGGTGTTTTCTATTTGTTTGCCGAGCAGTTAAGATTTCCAGGAGGCATGCGTGACTTGTTCTTAAAAGGGGCTGTAGGTCTAATATGTTTGGGAACCTCAGCTCTGAGTCACCAGATTCATCTGAGCAGAGTCCTCTACATATTGATTTCTCTCCTTACATAATGAATGATCAAGCTCTGCTTACATAATGACTGTTCAGATAAACTTTCCAGTGTTGAACTCTTGAGAACGTAAATATAAATCCTCTAAGACAAAACTTCTTTAGAAACCATTCTTTTCATTTCTTCATTTATTTTGCAATGGGTTACAATGTACCAATGTTTTGTTTTTTTATCTCCTAACACCACACCACTATGCCCCTCCATCATGTCACTGGCAGAGTGCCATAATCTGTTGCCCACCATCCACCTCTTGGCACCCCCAGACCATTGTTCTATGGATTATTGGTCTGAGGGTTATCTCACTGGGGATGGTTTAATCTCTTGCTTTTGTTTCTTTATACACTACAGATGAGTGAGATCACCTGATATTTTCATTTTTTCCTCACCGCACATTGCATGACTTCCTCCAATTCCATCCACGTTGCAGAAACCAACTCCCTTCCCTTCCCTCCCCTCCCCTCCCTTCCCTTCCCTTCCCTTTGATTCCTTCCCCTCCCCTTCTCTTGCCTCTGCATTCAGGTATCACTCCTGGTGGGAACTAGGAGACCATATGGGGTGTTCCTATCAAACATGGGTAGACCTGTGCAAGGCAAGCACCTTACCTGCTGTACTATGTTTTTGGTTCCTAAGGTTTGTTTTGATCTTGGTCTTATAAAATTAAACTCACTGTTGATGCTCAGATCGAGGGCCGCTTTTACAAAACCCATCGTCATTTTTAGTCAAGACCTATTGCCAGGGCGAAAAGATGGTCTGATGGGTCATTATATGTACTTAGCATGTGGGAGGCCTGGGTTGAATCTGGCACC